CCGGCACTTGCATGTGGATTAAATTTCCAAAGTTTCAGCCCTGCAGCTTTTGTAGGTCTCGAAATGAAAAACAGCGACAAATGCACACACGGACACACATACAGACAACCCCTCATCAATATGCGTTTTCTGCATTGCATAGCTGCTAAAAACGCACAAAAAGTGGGTATTGACATCTCGACCACCTTAAGCGCTTGCGTCATACTCAATTTTCTAAAAGTGAGCTCTTAGAAACTTACCTGGCTAGCAAAATGCGGTGCGACAGTAATAATTATTTGCCTAGCGTTGAAGCACAGTCAGCTTAAAATTCGAGATATTCATATCAGGCCAGTCAGACGATACGAATCACTAGCTTTTTGCCAAGCAAGTAGAAATCACCAGATCTTTTAGCAGTAGCAGATGGTTCAGGAAAAGATGAATACTATGCGGCTGGCCTGAGCATTTCGCTGCAACTCTAGTGCAGCAAGCGCTGAAAATTGGCACGCTTAAAGCAAAGTGATGCAGCAATTTCAAGAATAATCTTAATGAAACTTTCGACCTTCTTGGAGGAACTTCACTTACCCTGGACTAGACTCGATGCTTATGACATTCTTTTTGCAGATGGTGCATTTAAAAAAATCAAAGCAGAGAGTAGCAGTAGTAGTAGCACTTCGTCAGTCTTCGCCAGTGCGCTTTCCAGCGGATCCCAAGTACCTGCGAGGCAAGTTTCAAATTACCTTTCTCCGAAATTTAAGATTTCTTTAGCTTTATATACTCAGCTTTCTTTGTTGATGAAAACTGCTTAGCAGTTTTAAACTTTATTCAAGGATTACGCTGTCTTAAACTTTATTCAAGTAATCCAATCTATGCAGTGTTCGACGGCGACATCGTACGACATTTACGCAGGAGCAATTAGCCGAACTGGATGCCGCATTCCAGAAATCACACTATCCTGATATCTATGTTCGAGAAGAATTAGCTAGGATTACGAAATTGAATGAAGCACGAATACAGGTGAGAAAAATTGAGACATCGAAAACCA